TCTACATTATCACCATCTTCATTTGTAGGTACAGGATTGGAGGCTTGGAGAGAAAAATCATTTGTTCCTCCAAACCATAGAACTAAGCAGCAGTTCCTGCACTTGGGCTCCAGAAAATGAGGCTTTAAGCTAATCCTGACACTAGGAGGCGCTGTTGTTGAACCGTCAAACCCTGTCAGAGGGTTTTGTCTCCGTGTGCAAATGGTGAGAGTGCATCATTTGGGGATAAAACCATGGGAGTTAATACTTCAACGCTAACGAGCATTGGGTGAGTTTTCTTCGGAGAGTCCTGCTCCGAAGTTTGCCATCATGGCCCTTCATTTTTATAAGCTTTCACTTCTACTGTCCTTCATCTCCACAACTCTCTCCTCACTTGACCAAAAAAAGACTGAGAGACAGCTTCACTTAAACAGTGTCCACAGAGTAAAAACAGTGGGTAGCCCAACTCTGTCAGATTCCAGGGAATAATATTCCTTTCAGGCCCTGGAGTTCCCAGACTTGTTCCTTTGCCATTTCAGCTGCTAACAATAATGCTGCCTGTGACCAAATCCTTCCAGATCCTCTCTCATGGACTTTGTGTCATTATCACATTGCACACACCTCTGGCCAAATGTGACTTTTTAAAAAATCATTTGTTCTTCCTCCTCTTCCAGTGAATGATGGCTGATTATGAAACATCACCACCATCACATCACGACTGGCTGAGGGGAGGAGGGGTGTGCTGAGAAAGAAAACAGAAGGCACCTGGCCTTGGGATCGAGCTGGTAATAAATGTCAGCCTCAGAGGAGGTTAACGGCTGAGCTACTGAGAAAATTAGTAGTCACAAGCCTGGTTATGAAGTTTGTGTAAACATGGGCCAAAGCAAGGTCACAATGTCACAAATGACTGATCACAGACTCTTCCTTGGCTGAAATGAGTGCTGGAGGCTGTCTCATTACTCATTTTCTCTTTAGTCTGCCTCCCCTTCAGATATTTGTTGATCTTTCCAGTCATAGTATGACCTCCAATGCTTCTTATGCTTAAGAGCACCTCTTATGCTCTTTCCAAGAGCATCCAAAGTTATATGAACACCAGTCATCTCAACACCCCTACTGGAGCCAACTTCTTAAAATAGGTTCTAAAGCCCTCTTGCTCAGGTACCCCGAGTACCTCAGGATCTCCAGGCTAGAGTGCTTTGTCCCTCTACCTGAGTGTTTCTGGCGAGTGTGGGCTGGAAGGAAGACATGGACAGTGTCCAGGAGTTTAAAATCTACCTTTTCTACCCTTTCTGGATTCTGACAACTTTTGTAACAGGGTGGTCCCCAGGGAAAGCCAAGGGTCTGGGTTCCCTGCCCCAACCAAGGAAAGCTGGAGCCAAGCAGGGCTGAGAAGCTGAAGAAAAGGAGCAAGAAGAGGAGAGAGATGGGAAAAGAAGAAGACTGGAGGAGGCATTTGGAGCAGAAAGACATTTGAAAAAGAAACCATACTTGCCTCTAGGTCTTGGACTTGTACCAGGGACTTGGGGGACGTGGAAAGAAACACTTAAAGGAGACATGGGTGAGAGACCCATGGGAGGCTGGCAGTGGCAGCCCTTATCTTGACTTGGAGTTTGATTTTGCTTTCTTTTCTCCCAGGCTTGCCTGACCCCTTCTGCCCCTTTCCTACGGGTCCCCACCAGAAGGTGCCTTATACTTGTGTGGCAAGCTTTCAAGGCCTCAGTGGGCCTCCTTTGGACCAACCCTGTTTGGCTGGGCATTTACCCATAAGGGGATGGGTAACTTTGGATATTTCATTTAGAAACAATTTTTTTCTGGGCCTCCCCTGATGGCGCAGCGGTTGAGCGCTGGGTTGTGAGACTGCCCGCAGCTTCTGCAGCGCCGGTTCAATCCCCAGCCACCAGCGAGGGTCCCACAAAAAAAAAAAAAAAAAAAAAAGAAAAAAGAAACTATTTTTTTCTCTTTTCTCTTTTGCACACTAATTATATTAATTTTTCTTTTCTATTGATGGTCTTACGCACTGCTGTATGTTTTTGTTGATGTGGCAGATGGCAGATGGCAGAACCTATTTAGAGCGGGCAGTTTTGGGGATCATGTGGTCCCCCTCATTCTTCCCTGTAACACTGTGAGAACTAAAGATCACATGTTCTCTGCTAAATTTGTCTTCCAAAAAGGCAATTT